TTTGTCTTAATTAAGTTTTTCTTGAAGCGCGTATATTTCTGACAATACGCGTTTCCGAAATGTAAAACATTCAAATTCGGATAGAGCTTAAAATTTTATGTATACTGGTAGATTATCAGTATGTGATGATACTTTTACATATTACCGACAAAAATTAAAGTTCATTTAGAGTTAAGGAAAAGTGCTTTTTCGTATTCAGCACACTTGATAACCTGGAAAATTTTCTATTTTTAGCGAGGGGTACCGACAAAAAGTTAAGAAAAATTTTCAAAATTTTATAATTTTACCATGGGGATTTTTCTGCGTCAATTTGTTTGAAAATTTTTCTTAACTTTTTGGCGATACCCCTCGTTAAAAATGGAAAATTTTTCAGGTTATCAAGAATACGAAAAAGCACTTTTCTTTAACTCTAAACAAACTTTAATTTTTTTTATCAGTGATATGTCGACTCAACACGTGCAGTTTAGGTTTAATGTCATTTATTGCTTTACCATAGCTTGTCTAGATCGATAGAGAAATGTGTGGAGAATATTTAGTACGAGAAAATATGTCAAAATTTTCGTTCTTTCCTTCTTGTTATTGACTAATTAGTACTAATTGACTTAGCACTAATTAACGTTAAATTAACTCTACTAGCTTACAGTCCCATTTGAAAAATAAGGACTCAACAAAAGCATTTAAGCAATATCTCACCTGCTAGAGAATTTCACGGGCTACAAGACTGGCTAGCTTAAGAGTTTTAGAATCCAATTCATTCATTAGAATTTTTTTGTAACAGCTTCATGCTCAAAAATTTAACAACATTTTTTTAAGTAATTAATTTTTTTCTCAGCTAAGTAATGTCCGTAAGCTGAGAAAACTTCAGAACATATACTTCAAAGTGTCTTCTATAAACTGGGAAAATTTAGCAAAAAGTTTAAAACTAAAAAATTTCCTTAATTTTTAGCTAAGTGAAAATATTTTTACAAGATCTTGAACCGAAATTCGCTCGAATTTTTCAAAATTCGTTAAACTGGACTTTTAAATTAAATTTTACTACTTTGATTCAAGGAGTTACTTCTTGCTCCAAAATGCTATTGGACAGGTCAAAGCGGAATAACTTCGTCAAAGCTTGACCGAACTTTTTGTAGATACATCCTGATGTCCTCTATCGACTGATATCGAAACCGAGGTTATATATAGAATACCTAAAACGTCTCAAAAACCAAGATTTTCAATCTTAGAAATCCTATAAGTCGGTAAAGGAAGGTCGAAAATAAAATTCCAAACTTATACCTCTGTTCTATGACCTTGAATATTACCGGTAAAATTTTGAACTCAATCAGATGAAATTTAAGGGGACTCGTAATGTTGCACAATGAAGCCTGGTAGTAAAAACATTGCTTTCGAGAAAAAGCCCATTTTGTACAAAGGCCGCTTTTTTCAGAGCATTTACCGCGATGCTTATATCACCACGAAAACTCATCAGACAATTCTAGGAAACAGCTCATTGTCGAGAAAACACGTTCTTCTATCAGACTATGCGTAAGAAAAATTTTGGATGTACAGAAAAGAAGAGAAAAATTTATGCAACTAAAAAATTGAGTATTTTTAGGCTTTGAAGGAAAAACTTCAAAAATACATAACGTTTTGAAGAAAGATCGTGGAGGGCTGTTAGTGGTCTCATTTTGTAGTTCACACTTTCCTCTACATTAGGCTATGCTCAGCTGAAAATCCGTAATTTTTTCAAAAAAGAGGGAGTCGATAAAAGTATCATTACGGGCATATTTTATGAAAAAACGTTTGAAGAACAATACAATCGACTGTATTCTATTCTCTTGCGAAATTGTTATTTTGTATATATAGTCAATTGCAATTCTATAATCGATTTATACTTATTTTCTACTCCATCCACCTTCTATTTTGTTATGAATAGTAGTTGATAGAAAACATATATCTCAATCGGGATATAAATTCGATCTTTTAAAGTAAAATTCATTGACGAAAAAATAATGATGTTCGCGGAAAGTTTCGACCATATCGCCGAAAAGAGCTTAAAAAACTGCATCAAATTCTTTTTTCCTTCTGGCCAAGTCTTTTTTCCGGTCAGCAACCTTTTATTAAATAACTCTCGACGTTCATATTCTATATCCCAATCATGATATTTTACTTTTTTTACTAGCTATTTTAACACTTTCTCAAAATGTCTTGATATTTTCTCTTATTCTGGACATACCTAAGGCAGTGACACCTAGTGAAATGTTCAGTTAAAGTCACGCTCATCCACCGTGATTCTTCGCCTATGCAGGGAACTAAACATTGTTTTCGAAACAAGATTTCAGATGGGTAAATTCCCTTCAAAAGTTGTATTCTACATTGAAAAAATATTGAAAAAAATGTATATTTAAAAACATGAAATATTTTAGTTTTGTACTTTTAAGTATTAGGTAATTTAGTGTATTGAAGATATCAAAACATACGGAAATTTGTGAAAATTCACGTTTTTTTGGTGTCTCGGCGGTGACCTCTAGCAGAATGTTTTACGTCTACTCGCTTAACAAAACATTTTCATAAAGAGTTATTTCAGGATCAGTGGTCTCTTTTAATACGGTTTCTATAAGTCACAGCTAGTAAGACATGAGACTTCGACTGATGTGACGTTTGAAAGACAGCCGTTTTGTCCTTAAACTCAAATAAATTTTCTTTAGATGACTAATGATCATCGACCGTTCAGAAGACTAACGGAGTATGAATTATCTGCTGTTGGAACGTCTGTCAATAATACAAGGGATAGTGGTCAAGATGAACACGGATATCCTGCTAGTGATAATATTGATTCAGAACAAGTATCATTTGAAGAAACGGCCGGTATTGTATCAAACAAAGATGATAAGAGTATGCAATGTGTGACGTTCAGAAGTGTCCTATTGGGTGTATTATTTTGTATTTTATTATCGACGTTGAACCAATACTTTTACTACACAACCATTACATATGCGTTTCCACCTATTTTGGCTTTAATTCTATCCTATCCTATAGGAATATTTATGACGTGGGTTTTACCGTCTAAAGAATTTAGACTATGGCTGACAACATGGAAATTTTCGCTGAATCCTGGACAGTTCACAATCAAAGAACATGCACTTATCTTCATAATGGCAGAAGTATCTTCTTTAACAATTCCTACAGCGGACACAATTCTTCGGGCTGGAACTCCGCCAGGTTTTGGCTTAGCACTATTTTTCGTTATTTCAGCACAATTAATAGGATATAGCATAGCTGGTACGTACATAAAATTATACTAGATTAATTCCGCGCAGCATCGACCAGCGCTACAGTTGTTTTTTGCCCCAAACTCTAAGATCCATGCTAAAAGAGAGCCCATCAAATTCTCATCAAGAAAATGTCATTTAAAAAATAAATAACATTAAATCAACGTAATACAGTTTGGTTATGTTGGTGGGCATAAACATAGTGAATGTTGAGTTTTGCGGACAAAAAAGGTTTTTTGATAAGTCTTATGATTGGTAAGCTAAGGACTAGGATATAACGGGTGGATCAGTGGAAATGAGCCATTTAACATTTTTTCTTTTTCTTTCCTTCATTAAAGTTGTTGAAGTTGATCTTTTCACTAAAAGATTCTTTGTCAAATTCCCTACGAGTTCATATATAAAATTTGTAAATTAGCTTTAGATATATATTTTAAAAACAATGAAAAGTGAAGATCTTCAGAAATAGTGTTACTTAAACGGAAAAACGGTGATTCATTCGGCGACAAAACTTTTTCCAGATTTGAGCGGAGACGTTTCGTTATCAACAATCAAACGATGGACAAAAATGATTGACACTAATGGCACCACAGTGGGCATTTTTCTATAGAGCAGGCGGACATATGCTGGAGGAGTGGTATGAAAGCCTATAAACACGTTCTTCTATAGGTTTTCGGATATGCTCTTTCTAGTGATGAGATTTTCAGTACTCAAAAGTAATTCCTTGTGGTTTTCTGGAGACCGGATCTCTGGAAAACCCATAAAAAATATTTTTGCATTTCGAGAACCTCACTATTCGAAAGATTATATTCGAAAACCTATAAAAAATGTATTTATAGACTTGTGTACTATTGCTAAAATAAATATTCAAATTCCTAAGTAAAATTTACTGCGGACGAGCTTTCAAGTCTATAATTCAATTTGATCGAAAATATTTCTGCAGAAAAATTAAAAAGCACATCATTCGATGCAGTTTTTCACGGTGATTCCGAATATGGTATTATTTTTGCGGAAGAATGCAATTATAAGAGAGAAAACCATGAAATACTTCAAAAACCATATGGGTTTTGAGAAATCAATATTTTGACTTAGACAAAAAGTTGCAAAAAGTTGCAAAAAGTTGCATGCACCGTAGATAGGGTACATTCAGGAGAACATTTTCGTATTATTAAAACATCGTTTCAAGTTGAGCGATGTCATTGCTCTGAGATCGAGTCAAACTGGACTACCACTGAGTAAATTCCATACAACGTTATTTATAGAATTCTATTACGAAGTACACATATTTTCATATTGATAGATAGCCGATGAGATGCTGATTCTGAATAATTGCTTTGAAATTGTCTAGCATATGTGACCAAAGTATTAATCAAGATATTATGAGCATGTGCCCCATTCTTTGATATCTATTATGCAACTATTGTTGCCAGGTTTTCTTCTTGAAGAAACGAATATCAAAATAGACATTTATACACCATTCGATAGAGAATTTCAAGAGCTACATTTTGCACTATTTTGTTTCGGAAAACAAGATATTTCAGTTCTCGTCCAAATTTCCGCTTGGATGCCCACTGTGGGCGCTATCCATCTATCAAAACCACACGATTCGAAACGAATCGTACGAACGAAAATCATCATTGGAAGAGTCAAACAACAGTTGGAGGTAAAAACGGCGTCTGTCGTTACGGTAACTGAGTCAAGACTTGGGAATATCACGAGCAAGTGTTAACGAATATTAAGTAAAGATCTTGGATGCTTCGCCTACAGGTTGATTAAACAACCAGTCATTACTCAACTGCAAAAAATAAAAAGAATCAAATTTGCAAATTGGGTTAAAAACAACTATCAAGAACTTTCGACAAAAAACTGTTTTTTTTCTGATGATTCGTTTTGGATGAGATCTACAACATTCAAAACAATCGAATTATTCGACGATTGACGGCCCATATTACGGGTCCACAGTCATCAGGAGACAGATAAAAAGGTTGGCGTGAAAAAGAAAAGCCAATTTACGATTAAGGTTAGGGTTTGGTTGGACTTGGTATATCTCGAACTGGTCTAAAAAAATTCGGTCATTCTGGATACAGAAACGCTTAATCGTCAGTGTTACATCAAAGACATTTTACCGATTGCAGTTAAATGTGGACATAAGATGCTGGGAAATAGTTGGACATATAAACAAGATGGGGTCCCTGCATACAAAGGTCATCGAACTCAACAGTAGTGTAAAGAACATACGCTATTATTTGCACCGGCACATCGATAGTCACCAAATTCACCCCACCTGAATCCATTCGATTACAGTATTTGGAGCGAACTTGTTCAGGCTATCGAATGGTCCAGAATTACAACAAAAGCTTCATTAATTGGAGAATTAAAACATGCAGTGAAAGAAATTCCAAAAACAACATGTTGTAAGTAGTTGTGACGATTTTACAACGGGGAGGAGTCCAGGAGCTCATAGGAGTCCAGGAGTCCGCTTTTTCCCCCTTCCGATTTTATCAAACGCTTGTACGAGATTTTGAAAACTAATGGAGAATATACTCGTTGAATGAATATGTGAATTTGTAGAGTATTTAATGAAGAATCTTTTGATGAAAAATCAACTTCAACGACTTTAATGAGGAGGAGAAAATAAAAAATACTAAAGAGCTCATTTCCTCTGGCCCACCCGTTACTACTAAATATGTGTGGATTGATCAATTCATTTTGCAGTGTGAAGAGCTATTTCTCTCATTCACTTTCCCTTCCTCTTTTTGTCATATGATCTATATGTCGATCTTGCCTATTTGAAGGTATAATGCGCCGATTCTTAGTTTGGCCATCAGATATGATTTGGCCTCAAACTTTGCCCTTTGTTGCCCTTCTTCGCATGTTGCATGAACCAGAGCCTACACAGACGAGCAAATGGTGTAATTTAACTCGTTTTCGATTTTTCATTTTGTGCACGGTGATCCAAATGATTTATTTCTGGTTGCCAAACTATTTGATGACAGTATTAGCAGCATTTTCATGGATGTGCATGATTAATCAAAACAATATTTTACTTTCGCAACTGACTGGACACTACGGACTTGGTATGGGTTCACTGCAGTTTGACTGGTATTCTTTAACAAACACATTATTATCGCCTATAATAGTACCCCTTTGGGCTCAGATGAACATTCTTGTTGGCTTTATAATAATCGTTTGGATTTTCATTCCGATTCTTTACTATTCAAATGACTATTTCAAAATATTACCTATTTCAAGCGACCAATTTTTCTCAATCAACGGAACATATAGTCTAATTCAGAACAGTACACCTGAAGAACCTGTTTTGTTTAGTGTGACATATGTTGCAGGCCTCTATTTCATGTTTGCAGCTTATATAGCTCTGTTTGTACATACAATAATTTATTACGGTTCGAATATTGTTAAACAATTTAAAACATCACTGCATCAACGACCAAACGATGTTCATTGTGTATTAATGTCAAAATATTCAAAGGTCCCAGAATGGTGGTATTTTGTCGTGTTTTGTCTTTCATTCATAGTGGCCGCTGTTACTTGTCAACAAGGTGACTTGATGCCTTGGTATTATCTTTTTCTTGCTATAGCAATAGCATTTGGTTGGTTATTGCCTATTGGAATCGTCGAAGCTATAGCCAATGTGAATTTATTTAGTCTAACTGCTGTTATGCTTGTTGGTGCTATTTTGTTCCATAAAAATGGTCTTGCTAATTTAACATTTCAAGCGTTTGCCTCGACTACAATTTCTCAAGCATTGATATTATTATTTTCTTTTAAGTTTGGTCATTATATGAAAATACCATCGCGCACAATATTTATTACGCAACTCATGATAACAATTCTCAATGCCATTATTAAGTATAGTATAACATATCATTTATTAAATACTGTTCCTGATATTTGTAGTACTCAGAACTGGACATGTCCAAATTCACCAACAACACCGATATTATTTGCAAACTTAGGTAAGTTGCCATAGAACTGTTGAGCATAAAATATATTCTACTTTTAACAATCATCGAAGAAATAGAAACTAAATGAAGCCGTATCTCTACTGTGTTATTATACTGTCAGTGTGGAGACATATCCCGATCGGGATGTACTCCCAATCGGTATATATATCCCGATTGGGATATCATTTTTTGCAGCAAAATTTTTTTTATATCCCGAACGGGATATAGTCTGAAATTATATCCCGATCAGGATATAATTCGATATCCCGATTGGGATATCAAGAAAATCTATATCCCAATCAGGATATAGATTTTAGAAACATTAACATGTTTCTCATCAAATCTAATTAGTTTAAAAGGAGTGTTACCGTGCCAGGCAATATGAGTATAAATGCCACAACGCCTGGAATGATGATGTTCTCTTGGCATCCTCAGAAATGCTGGCTTCACGACTGATATACGTTTCAAAAGATACAGCAAGTTGTGATTCACTTATAAAGAACATAAGGCAATTTATCTGCAAGAACGGATAGTTAGAAAATTCCCCGTTAAACACAAAGCACGTATATTTATATATTGTAGACGCATGAGAAAAGAATTGTGTTCCAATATATGTGGACATCGAAAAGGAAGAAATAAAAAAACACGGTCGACGTCGAAAGCGATTAGATCAAGAGTATATCCCATTATGAGCAATAAAAGATTAACAGCCTATTTCTCGATCGGGATATAAATTTGACAAAAATTTGTTCAAAATTTGTATTCGAAAAAATAGTTGCTGGGCGCTTGATACACTTTTGATCAAACACAACAGAATCCGATGTAGTTTTTCGAGCTCTTTCTAATGGTGACGTCAATTATACCCCAAAATGTCGTCATTTTTCCCTTAATCGTTTTTACGATGAATTTTCGTGTTTTATATCCCGATCGGGATATAAATTCGACTAAAATTAGTTAAAGGTTTTTGTTCGAAAAAATAGTTGCTGGGTGCTTGATGCACTTTTGATCAAACACAACAGAATCCGATGTAGTTTTTCAAGCTCTTTCTAATGGTGAAGTCAATTTTACCCCAAAATGTCGTCATTTTCCCCTTAATCGTTTTTACGACGAAATTTCGTGTTTTATATCCCGATCAGGATGCTACTTTTTTTCTATATCCTGATCGGGATATATATCCCGATTGGGATATAGCTATATCCCGATCAGGATATAGAAGGTGTCCCCTTACTGACTGTGACGATGACGCTTGTATATAAATCCATAGACATTTTACTGTCAGCAGTAACTATAAAACGATCTTCTGATAGAATCTCATTAGGAGAATATAATCTAAATATAGGTAGTGAGACAAAGACTGTTAAAAGAGCTTCTTCGTATAATTTTATTATAGATCATATGAGAGGCTGATAGATTTATTAACTGATCCGTAGTACGAGAAATGAGTGAAAGTTCACCTTTTCTTAGCTTAAGCTAAATATATCTAGTAGTTTTTCGACATATCTTGTTACGTTGCAATTTGTATGCTTTCCAGATATACAGAAGACACTCGGCAAGGATTCAATGTACGGTCGTCTGTTGTGGCTCATGTTAATTGGAGCCATTTTACCAATTATATGTTGGGCTATACATAAGGCATTCCCGAAACAAACACGGTGGCTGAAATATATTCATATACCAATTATGTTTTTTGAAATAAGTTTACTTATTACTATTCCGGCCGGAACATTTCCTTCGTGGTTGCTAGTTGGGCTTATTTTTCATGTAGTCATTAGACGGTGGTGGTACAATAAGTATGCACTATTATTCTCAATCGCAATGGATACCGGTGCACAAATCAGTTTATTTTTTGTGTTTTTCATTTTCCGTCAGATCTATGCTCCTACTTGGTGGGGTACTCAAGAGAGCTGTCCGTTATCGTTTGCTACTTATTATTAAAAACTCCCTGACTACTAAAAAGAGTATAGTGCGTTATAGCAAAACAGCAGAATATCTGGTATGATGCTGTGATAGCATCATCGGTATAAATAAATGTCAGGCAGTCATACTATAAACATAAATTGATAACGTACTATAGCTGTGCTAAGATGACAAAGAACTGTTTGACGAAAAAGTATAATCAAAGTTAAAAGGTTTAGAGTTCAACATGTTGAGTGAATGCCCCAGTAACACTGCGGTAGACATTCATATGTGAAATAAAAGTGCCAAAAACTATTTCGTACATGTACACAACTCAAAATAGAAGCTTGTAAGGTTAAGGAAATTCAAAAGACAAGCACTTTTTATTTTTTCGATATTTATATATAGCTGGATAGAGCTCGACGAGCTGCATCCGAATACGTGTATTTTAATCTTTCGAATCAAAATTTTAATGTC